TCAAAATTTACATTACAATGTTCACAACGCAAAAGCTGACTTCATTTTGTTTTTTGCCAATCTTCAATGTACAAGTGTGTGATGCCATCATTTCTGATGGACTTATGAGGATGGGAAGATAATGCCATCATTTTTGATGGACGTCTGTGCTTTTGCCACCTTTTGTAGATGGTCTTCTGTATTTTTGTCAAAAGCTGCAAGGGTCAAGTACAACAAGAGAAGACACGAGCTTAAGAAAGAAAAAACAAAAACGAAGGGGCGTAGTTGTGTAGAACTACGACTCGTTGTTGTGTAGAACTACGAGGCGTTATTGTGTAGAACTATGGGGCGTTGTTGTGTAGAACTATGGGGCGTTGTTGTGTATGACTTCACCCTTGTAGCAACACTCACCTATTGAATGATGCATCTTTGAGCATCATCAACATTTGAGGAGTTTTCCTGATTGTGTTGGTTTTCTGCAACATGTCTCATTGCACGGTTAAAAGAGAGGGCTTCTTCAACTTGACGCTTGAAGAGCTCATTATCAAAAATGAGGCTGTTGCCACGAAATGAATTGAATGTTTCAGCAAAGCACTCAGCATAGTTGGTGATGATGTTCTCTTTGAGCTTGTAAAGGTGTCCGATGTAGTTGTTCACACTGTTGACTTCGCTCAGGAAGATGTGGCAACTCTCCTCGATTTTCTGCTCTGTGCCTGTACCATTTCCAGTATCTGAAAAGATACGCTTCAATGCCAGCAGGCTATCTTCATCCAAGCTTTGTAAAGCCTTTTTGAAGACATCTTCACCAGCATACACCTTGTTCTTGAACAGTGTCATCTTCTCGTTGATTGGTGAGATGATGGTGTTCAACTCAACTGGTGGGACATCTTCAACAAGAGGGGTGTTCAAGCTCTTGCGAATCTTGTCCACAGTCCGCTTCTTCATCTGCTTCAACGCATCAGAGTGCTTGACGTGGTTCTTTATCACAGCACGGGCTGGCATTGATACACGAAAAGGCTGGTTGTTGAAACACTTATAAAACAGTCGTCCATAAATTGCTATGGTTGAGTACAAGTGGGCTCAACGCATGGCATCAATGAGCAAACGGTTCGAAGACAAGGCACACAGGCTTTTTTCCATATCACAGGTTTCTGGGTATGCTCTCATCAGCTCACGGTAATTGCACGGCAAACATCGTGACCGACTCCAAAAGCAAAGGGCTCAATCGAAGCAAACAGCTTTTTGTGAAGATGTTGTGTTTCAACTGTGTTATTGATTATGCCCCTCTTTGATGTTGTCACTCAAACTAATCGCTTCTTACAGGCTGGCTCAATCTTGTCATCATCTTGGTCTTCGTCAATGCCCTCATTGTTGATGCTCATGTCGCCATCGGTGCTGTCCGTCTCCTCAAGAGCACCAATCAAGCTTTCATGGGTGATGTTTGAAGCTGTCTCATCATCTTGCTCATTCATCATGGCTCGGATGACAGCACCGTTGGGCACCTGCAACGAGAAGAGCTCCTTTCGCGGCTTGTCGCTGATGATCGTCTCATTCCACTCAAGGGACAAGTGGTAGATGAACTTTGTCGGGATGCCATTGTTGTTGCAAAACACCTTGCGAAGCCTTCCAACCGTGTAGGAGCGCGGAATGAGAACCTTGTAATTGGTGTCTTGAAAGTTAATGACAACCTCAATCTTCTCTGCCTTCTTCTGCTTCATCTGCTCCTGCTTCTCCTTCTTTGCGAAGCCCTTTGCCTCTTTGTTCTCGGTCTGCTTCTGTGCCTTCACCATCGCTTTGCGTTGCTTCTCAATGATGACCATACGGTCGATGATGCCTTTGGCCTGCACCTTGAAGGCGTCCTCCAACTCCAGAACCGTATCCAAGCTCATAGTAGACATAAGCTCTGACAAAGCATCAACATCAGCATTCATTGCCTGCTCCGTCGATGATGATGCTGTTGGGTCTGGTGCGTCTTGGTCATCCTCTTGGCGGTTCTTGGAAGGGTAGCCACCTTTCTTGTCATTCTGCTTTGGCGCCATTGAATGGAAGTAGAGGCTCAACGGTCACAGCTAGGAAACGCACGAATTGCTGTTTGATGGAAAGGCGGATTAGCAAACGATTTCAACTTCAACAATGCTCACATGAGTCAATCAACAAGTTCAAAGCTGAGGCTCCCGACAAATATAAATGAAGTCGATGATCACGAAGGAACGGGCGTGGCCGACGGGAAGCCCAAAACCAGAAGAACCGCCCAAAAGCCAACCCATGAAACCACAGAAAGTCCTATCCTCTTTCAATCAATAAAACTAAAAGTTGAAATCTGGAACGACACAGGGGACCAAATCATCAATTCGTTACCACATCCATATCGTTATTTCATGCCCCCAAAATCAGCCTTTTAAAAACGGATAAGGTGGTACACGTGTTGAATTGTGAATTAAAAAAACAGAACAGGCAACCATCTACCCCCCACCCCCTAGGACAAGCCTTTTCTACATTTTTTGGGGGTCGGGGTGGGGTTTGGGTGGGGTTTGGGTGGGGTTTGGGTGGGGTTTGGGTGGGGGTTTGGGTGGGGTTTGGGTGGGGTTTGGGTGGGGTTTGGGTGGGGTTTGGGCGGGCGGGGCGGGGCGGGGCGGGGCGGGGTGGGGCGGGGCGGGGCGGGCGGGGCGGGGCGGGGGTGGGGTGGGGGTGGGGGTGGGGGTGGGGGTGGGGGTGGGGGTGGGGGTCGGGTGCGGTGGGGTGGGGGGGGTGGGAAAACTCCACTTACCAGGATAAACCACCACCAAATATGGGCCAAACATTAATGGTTTCCGTGGGCGGCCTTTTACAACCAATCAACGTAAAAATGACACGCCTGAAGTCATCGTTGTTTAGGTGCTATGTTTGTGGGAAGAAGGGAAGTATCCAAGCATGTTTGCACCTACCGACCGTGATTGGCTAACTGTTGTTCATACCGACACGCGGGGAACCACAAGTACAACCACCTGTTCTTCTCCCCACCCATGGATCAATGGATGTGTTGTTTGCCCAGATTCTCCAAACCAGTTCTGTAAACCAAGACCGATTCATTGATAGATTCCCTTAAATTAAGTCAAAACTATTTCCAATCTTTTCATGCCTGTCTGCCTGTTCTCCAGAAAACTGCGCACGTGCCCGGAAAATGAACAGAACCTGAGCTCAAACAAGCACGCACAGAAAGCAGCTGGACAGGCTTCGGGAACTGCTAGAGCAGCGATAAGTTCAGCGCACATCAAGACTGGCGCGGTCGTACAGCCGACCAGGGTGTCAAAAAAAGGTGTTGTACTTGAGAGCGTGGCAATAACGACATAGCACAAGAGGGCGTGCCACATGCTTGGCAAACTTTTTGCAAGAAGGCGTGAGAACAGAGAAGTGCGCAACCGAGCAAGTTTCGTTTTGTAGGGGGTGTGGGAAACTGCTACTTTAGCCGAGTCCAAAATGACAACCATGTCGTGGAGGATTGCTATGCTCAGAAGGCATCTGCTTGAAGCCGCTTTGTGCGTTGTCCACCAGGAATGGCCATTTATCATTTTGCTCGCAGAGAAAACGCAAGCAGAAAAAGAGCACGGTACAGGCGCCGGCACCATGTTTTGGGTCACAAGATTCATGTGGGTGCTTTGTTTCCGGGTACCCTTCTTGGGGTTGGTTTCAAGGGCAGCCACAAAGAAACTACCAACTCTAGGTTTGAGGGTGCCCTTTTTGGGGTTGCATTGCTGGAAACCAAAACTGCAAAAAGGAAACCAAAGGGAAACCACCAACTTTAGGTTTGAGGGACCCTTTTTGGGGTCGGTTTACAGGAACCCCAAAAGGACACCACTAACTTAAGGTTTGAGGGTACCCCTTCTTGGGGTTGGTTTAAAGTAAAACCAAAAGGACACCGACAAACTGTGGAGACAAACCCTGTGCTTCCTTGGCAGTTCGGATTCCCATTAAAGACACATGCAATTTTGGGCTGTTTTCAGATCCCTCTGCTAAAAGTGAATAACTTTTAGTGATTACATTTGGGTGTGGCTCAAAATCAAACAGGAGGGGTTACGCAGTGTTTGGTTTATGTTTCCACTTACCAGGGTTCCATTTTGGTACCGGTTTTTTAAGCCACCGCCATTTGGAAGCCCAACCAAGCCAACTCACACCTCAAACCTTGAGGAACCGGACGGCTGTGGAAGCGCCAAGGATTCAGGGTTACCCTCCCTTCGGCCCTTCCAACCTGGCACCTGACAGGAATTTGATCTTCCAGGTCCTTTGACAGGTGCCCCCTTAAAGCGGGAGTGAGGGAACTCAACCTGAAGCACCTCCAAACATGGTCTACGTAGAGTCTTCCCCAAGAAAAAATGTTTGGCCGGACAAAAACGCAGAAACATGTTATCCCTATGTCAATCAACCAACAGTTCATTCCTCGGGGGGTGTCCATGTCTGGGTCTAGTAGTTGGAAATCAGACCACTTTTGGAAGGGGCCCCAAAAACGACCCGATGTTCGTAAACTTGTTGGATTAGGACCAACCCCCAAAGACGGGTACCAACCCACAAGACAGAGCCGCCATCCATAGATTAACGTGGATTTTCATGAGCAAAAAAAGAATCGGCACCCTATTCTTCTTGGCCGAGTTTCAAGGAAAGAAGTATCTCTTACCGCAAAAAAAAGTCGCAAAAAGGTGGGGCACCCCACTGGGCAGCAAAAAAAACATCAACTGGGCTCGGTTGCTTTCTGCTCCCCTGCTGAATGTTTAACTCTTATGGTTTAACGGAAAACCCATAGGTTTGCCAGTTAAAGTCCTAGCATTCATTTGCTGTAGGTTCGCGCAAAAAACAAAAATCCAGCAGTCATAGACTCGTTTTAAAACCAACCGGGGAAAAAACAAAAAAATCCTGAAACGCAACTGGCAGCTAACATCCCGCGGCCGCGACTCCCCACGCCCACGCCCCCCCGACATCGTCCCCCGCGTCTCCGCCGCGCCGCGCCGCGCTCCCCCGCTCGCCGCGGCGTCTGCACGCTCTGCTCGCGCCTGCAGCACCGCGTCCCCCAGAAACTCCCAGCGCTCGAAGCGCCTGGAGCGCGAGCCGTCGGCCCGCGCCCGCAGGGCGCCTAGGAGCTGCGGCTGGCCTCGGGGTTTGGACGGCGCGCATCAGGCGCGTCAGGCGCGAGGCCGGGGCCTCCGCGTTTTTTTGGTTGGTTCAGGGCTGAAAACCCCATGGTTTTAGATGGCTTGGAGGTCGCTGAACAGAATTCGGACATGTGGGGTTCACAAAAGGAAGTCTTGTTTTACAGATTTTAAAGGTTGCGAAGTCTGGTTTTCAAGGTTGTGGCATGGTCTCGTCTGTTGAAATCAAACAATGTCTCAGTGAAGTGTTGAGGTTGTTGAAAAAGATTGTCGTTGAACGTTGTGACATGTTCCGGGAAGTCAACAAAAATGGATTCACGAGGTTGTGGCACTAAAAGAATAGGCTTTTCGGAGCTGGTACAAGTTGGTCTCATTTGTGCACTTGGGCCCAGCTTCCCTTGCCATCATACTCTGGGTCATTTTGAGGATGTCTTTCCATCTCCCTAAAGTCATGTCCAAAAGATTCATGATTTGCTGTAGCAAAAGGAGCTGGAAGAAATGTCTTCAATAAGCTTCCAGCCCCTGGTCTCAAGTGCTTCTATGACGCAAGGAATGGATAGGGACTTACCATGTCAACATGTCATAGGAATCTTATGGTTCCTGTTGAAGAAAGATGCTGTCGTCTCACTCCCACATCCAATTCTTGTCTACGTTCTCGTGAAGCTTGGGAGGGAAGAACAACACGTCATGGTGGATTTTGGCGCCATCATCAAAAAAAAGACAAGGATGCCAAACAACGGACGGAGGAGCTTCTGATTCTGGGGGATGGACGGTGTTGATGTTGTTCAAGATGTTGTTCTCTTTTCGTTTTTGTCGAGGGGGTGAGAAAGGAAACGTTGTTTCTGTTTGGGGGGGGGGGGGTAAAAAAGAGGCGAGGAGTAGCGGGCTTCTGGGAAGGGTGTGTGAGGCCGCACAAACTTTGCTGCGCCTTCAAGGAAACCAAACGGAGGTGGTTTCATCAGTAGGGCTGAGGTGTTTAAACGCATTCATGTGGGTGTGTCGTTTTTTGAGGGCACCCTTTTTGTGGGAAGGCAAACCAACCATTCTGGGGGTCCCTTAAAAAAAGACACACCCATGTGCAATCCAGGAGTTGCACCAGCCACCCTCTCTCCGGATGGCTCTTCTCTCAAGTGCAGCCCGGGCACGGAAGGCGTAACCTCAGCCGGGGAAAAAACTCGAGAGATGCCTCTTCCCACACATGGCCATGGGTCAAAAGCCCACCAAGAATCCCCAGTGAACATCCCAATCCCCACCAAAATAGACTAAAATGGGTGGTGCATCTAGCCAGATTTCTCCCCTGAGCTGCATCCCCTGAACGGCCAAGCTCACCCCGCAGGGTCTCCCGGCTTTGGACCAGCTGCAAGGTGCGCTAAACATAGGCTCCGTGAAAAAAAAAAAAAAAACTGACCCATGGCCTTCTGGCTATGTGCCGAAACCCAACAAAAAAAAATGCCGGTGTCCCCTGTCTTCCCTCTGCCACCGGGCCCCAAAACAAAAATCGCCTCCCACAGACCCGTCTCCCACCACAACCCCTGGGCTCCAGGAAAGATGCCGCCCTCCGGGTCTGAGGAATGAGCAGGGGAATGCCCGAAAGGAAACCCGTGGAAGAGTCGAAATTTCTTCGGGGTCAGTCCAACAAAAATCAAAGCCGAGAAGAACAAAAAGATGGAACAAAGAAGAACAACCAAAAAAAACGAGGAAAAACAAAAAACAACACAAAAGCAAGCAGAAAGCAAAACGCCCCTCGAACCAGAAAACCCCAACCCGCCGCTCCGTCCGGGCTTCTCGCCGTAGGCCTTCAGAACTTCCGCGGCGGCCTCCAACTCTGGGCTCGCCGCCTGGGATCCAGCGCGAAACATCGGAAACTTGGACACCCAGGTACCTAGACTCTCCATGACCCTTTAAAAATGGGGTCATTACCCAAAAATTAAGGGGTCATGACCACTTTTTCTAGGGGTGGCTCTAAATCATGTTGCCCGCAGGGTGTGGCTCAAGATTAAACAGGAGGGGCAAACCGCAGATTTTGGTCCATGTTTCCACTTACCAGGGCTCCATTTTGGTACCGGTTTTGAGTCATAATCAAAACCTGGTACAAAAATGGTCAACCCAGAACCATGCAAAGGAATAAGAAGCAGCTATTTTTGGTTGGGATCGTCCCTCACTAACCTTCATCTACCCGGGTGTTGATTGTAGCTCATGTATAAATAATGTTGCCCCCATATCAATTACAACTCCAGCTAATGAAAAATGGGGGTGTCCGATTCGTGAAATGTCGGGAATCAGACCACTTGAGGGGGAACGCAAAAAGCCCGCACCCTAAGGCTCATGGCCCCTGCAATGCCGGACCCCTCAAGGCCCTCAAAAATAGCTCATGTTGAGGGCCCCAAAAAACCACCGGGAGCCTTAGGGCAGAAAAATCCTTTCCCCCCATCCGCCCAAAGGGCCTGGCAAGGATATTCCCAGACGAGTTCGAAGAGTTATCATTTCGGACTCCGAAATGAACTCATCGAACTCCTCTGGAATAAATATCCTTGCCAGGCCCTTTGCGCACGTTGCTCGAAAAAGGCGGACCTTTTCAATCTCCCCTAACAAAAAAAGAGACCCTTTTCAACATACCCTTCTGCAGGGGTCACCGGATTTCCCCAAATCAAGGGTTGATCAATGGACTGGTGGCTTCGAGGTTCCCAGCGTCAGTGGTTTCGTAGCAGGTTCGGGACCAGCGTCCTCTCTTGCGCCTCTGGGTTCACTGGTTTATGGGAGCAGACATGCGGCTTCCCCACAGGACCGCCGGCTTCCATCACATCCAGCACCATTCAGCTTAACACCTCTGTGTGTCCCCCTTCCACCATTCAGGTGTTGGGGTTGTCTCTGCTTAGGCACAACCCCACAAAAAGATGGGCCCGTTCCTTTTGGTCTCCCTTTAAAACCGCCAAGGGGTATCGACTCGAAACTGAAAACTGATGGATTGGTGGTCCTTTGAGCCTCTAGCACCGCCAAACAAGGGGTTTCGACTCCAAAACGACGCGCGGCACCCATTTCGCCGACTCCTCCCTCCACCCGCGTCTCGGCTCCGCTTTTTTTTTTCGGACCCCCGGCCGAGGAGGAGGCTGAGAGAGCGGCCGCGGCGGCCTCCTGGCCAAACGGAGAGCGAACTTCGAGCAACATATGGCTGTGGGTCGAAACCCAGGAAACCCCTGGTGAACATCAAAATAGGTGATACATGGGTGTTCATCCGCTCCACAATGGAGCCAACATTCTAGGGGTTGATTCCTTGTCCATTCTTTTCAACCATCGTTCTTTTCAACCAAAAAATACAGCTGTGTCCCCTTTTTCTTTAATTGGTTTCCTGAAAAGAAGGATCCCTGGAAAGAATGGGGAAGGTAGCCCTAGAAACATATTTTCTTTGAACATCACCCAATTTGGCTGGGCTATCCTCAGATCCCCCACAACAAACTTAACTTTTTGTGGATTAAATGGAATCCCAATAACCGCAAGAAGGCTAAAAAGCCAAGCTGACTGGAAACCACCAAGTTGGTTCCAAGGGCGTGGGCAAAATTAAACCACAAGGAGATGGACCGTGGATTTTAGTCACCATTTACCAGCTGGCAACCCATTTTGGGGGTACCCTATGTTTGACCACACCCAACTCACTTGCCCTTTTGAAAGTGGACTCAATCCCATGAGGGGCCTGGACAGATTTCAGGATAACCCAAAATGGCGCCATGAGTAAAAATGGTAACCCGGAAACTTGCTGGTGCGATAGGTAGGGAATATGGGAATGAACCCACGGGTCCCCTCAAAGCAAACCACAAGGGATGGTTTATAAGGGTCATTCCCTCATTCCCTGCTGAGCACCAGCAAGAAAGGGGAAAACCAGGTGTCAAACGGTCGATTCGCTTTGGGCAGAGCAAATGGGCGACTCGCCTTTTTGTTTGAGGCCCATTTTGGGCTAAGGGAACCAAAAACAAAACCATGGAGCGGTCCCCTGAAAAAGGACACGCCCAAGTAAACATGGAGGAAAACTCGGGAACATTGTTGAACATAGGGAAGATGGAAACAACTTGGGCGAAAATAAAGGCGAGGAAACCTAGGGAATTTGGAGAGAACCGAGGAACTATCAAGGAAACTGGAGGAAAATGGAGTCAACTTAAACACAGGGAGAAGAGGTAGAAAGATGGGACTTGGTGAAAAAGGGGAAAATTAGAGGAACACTGCCTTGCTTGCTTGGGGAGGCTGCTTTTTTGCGGGGGCGCTAATACTAAGATAAACGTCCATTTTCGAGCTCGCGGCCGAGCTTTGGTCAGAGTCAATCAAAAACTTTAACTTGTAGGGTGTTTCTCAAAGGCGTCCGCTTCTTGGATGTTTGGGAAATCAAAAGGAAACCAAGCTGAAGAGGTCCCCAATCTCGAGAAAGACCCAATGAATCCCAGTGGAATGACATTTTGTCGGAGGTCAAATCAGTTTAAACACCGGTGTCACTAGTGCAGAAAGCCCCTAATAACCCCTTAGGGGAGCTCCGTGTTAAGTCGGGGCCAGCTTGGTGCGTAGTTGATTTCTACATTGAAACTCCCGCTTTGAGCCATGTCCCGGCCAGCAAAGCAGGGACCCATTTGATTGAAGAGCGAAAAGGGGCCAATCGCGATCGCAAGATAAGCCAAAATCAAACCCATAACAGGGATCCTTACATTATACATTGTAAATGTGGTGGAAAAATGTGTCAAATGGATCCAAAACCACTTGCATGATTCCCCAACAAAAAGGGTGCCCACCGTGCCGTCTGCAAGAACCCCCAAAAAGTGATGGTGTAAGGCCAAACATTGGAAAGGGGAGTCTACCTGCAACACATGAGATGTGCCGTCGCGCATCAGTCGATGCAGAGCTGGGAGGGCTTGAGCCTCCAACCTCCACCCCCCTCAGGGGCGACACGCTGCCATTGCGCCACAGCTCCTGTTACCGGCATTATGCAAAACCCCTTCTTTAGGAACACTCATTTGCTCCACTTGCCTTCCCTCCCTCTTTTTTGCGCGCCTTGAAGTCTGAAACCTCCGGCACTGCCTTGCAGTTGTTTTGCGGCACAGGCAAGCCAATGAGTTTAACTGTAGGTTGGTTGAAATTTGAGTGAGTCAATGTGCAAACTTGAAGTTGGGAAGGGGAGGGGATCCGCATCTTTGTCCCTTTGGCTCCATGGGGCTGCTCGCTTTGAGAAGCTTTGAGACCAAGAGGATGTTTAAGCAAATGGGTGTGTTCTATGATCCATCAGCAACCTCAAGGACTTGTGCCATACTGTGGATGGATGAAACCCCGCACCACTTTGAAACCATGGGAAACCACGGTTGGGCAGATCTCGAAAAAGCTCTTGGCACATCGAAACATCCTGTAACATCTCCTGCTGGTGTCTACGAATCGTGCTGCTACGACCTTTTTCAACTATAGCTTCTTTGTCGTCAAACGCACTATTAAATGGAGGCTGAAGGGCCAAGCTTACCCGAATGACCGCCCTCCCCCACCCCCTAAACGGGAGCATCTGCTTTCCCAGGCACATGTGGTCCTTAAACAAGGGGGAGTTAGGGAAAGCCCCAAGCACCGGTTTCCCCACAAACGAACCAAACCACAACCCCCCAAAAAACAACCAAACCAGAGCCGGCCCCCGCCCATGGGCCTGGCCGAGGCTCACCTGGCGCGCAAAGGTCTGGAAAATCGGAGCCCCCCCCCCCCCCGATGAAAACCCCGCTTGGGAGCTCCGCTCTCTGGTTCCCTGTTTTCCTTTTTTCCCTTTTTTTTTTTTCCGGAGTGGTGATTTTTTTGGGGGGTTGAAACAGGGACACCAGCAACTTGTGGAGGGGTGAGATTTGTCGAAGGGTGAGAAGTGACCATGCCGCAACTGGGACGCAAAATGAGACGGGCGGAGGGAGGTCCTCTACACGGGGTGTCCAGTAGGGACACCACCCAACAAGAATTCGACTCTCACCAAATGGGGGAAAAGTTACCCGTGATAAGGAAGCCCTGCATGGATAATTATCTCAACCCCCATACTGTCATAGACAGCAATCCCAGTTTTAGAGGGGGGGAGGATGTTGTTGGTTTCCCTCTTCATTTTCCCTTTCAAAACAACTTTCTCAATTCCCCTTTCTTCCACTTTTAGTGTTTTGCGGGAGGATTTTGTTTTTCCCACTAACACCGGGGCCTCCAGAACCATTAAAGAGGCAAACGCGCGCGCCGCCCCTTGCCGCCCAGGCGCTGCCAAGGGCGGCGGCGCTTTGCCCAGGGCCACCGCGAAGATGCTCCAGGCCGCGGCGGCGCCGCGGTCCAGCGGGCCGGCAGCGCCGGCGCCGGCGCCGCCGGGCGCCTCGCCCCTGGGCGCGTGCGGGGGAAAGCGCGGCGGCCGCCTTCTGGCGGTCGGCGCGTTGACACGGCCGCTTTTGCCCGGGTCGAAATTGGTTCACTTGTAAGGGCCATCTGTGATTGGAGCAAACCAACCGTGGCACCGAAAAACCTTCAAGAAGGTGCTTATTTGGCTGTGGCTCAAAAAAGTGGTACCAAAATGGCGCCTTGGGAAATGGAAGCAAAGACTAAAACGCGCGTACCCCCCAGCTCTTTAATCACGGTCCACTGTATATATTTACTGCTGAAATGCTCCAAGCCCAACAAGCTGCAAGTCCAACTCGGGCCGTAAGTTCCGAATCTCAGTTGTTCAGTGACCAGGGAGCCCTTTTGGAGGAAGACCATTTTTAGTTCGGCAGCCACTGCGAGAAAAAAAAGAAAGGATGAAACAAAGAAAAAAGAAAAAAAAAAGAACAAAAGGAAAAAGGAACAATTGGAAAATGGAGAAAAAAAAAGAAAAAAAAGAAAAAAAAGAAAAAAAACGGAACAAGGGTGCCACTGAACTGAGGACTATGGCCCCACTGGGCCGCTTCTCCCCAAGCCCCCGGCGCCGAGCGAAAGGCCGCGCCGAGGGCGGCCTCCACGGCGTCCGCCACCACCTGGTCGAAGCCGGCCCCGGCGTTTCGTCCGAAGGGGACTTTCCCGGGCTGCCCGTGGTCAGATCCCCCGCGGAAAAAGTGGAACTCACTTTGAGTGGGTGATTTTTATTCTTGTTTAACCAAACAACGACTACCACGAAAAAAGCAAAAAAAAGCGAAAAAGGCGAAGGAACCGGATGGCTGGGAGCCACCAAGGTTCCATGCCCATTCTGAACCCAGGGATCCATATGGATCTTAGAAAACCCCCGGAAGCCCGGGGAAAACGGATCCGGTTTGATCGCAAAGAACGGAGAAGGAACCAACCCCTCGAGCGATGTATTCTTTGGGCGGCCGAAAGACGGAGCTGGTGAATGATACAACAGGTGATCAATATTCCATTCAGGGCCCCCAAATGCCCATGAGTAACTGGCGGTTGAAACATCTGCCTGTTTCGTGGCGGTCCCCCGTGGCATACATCACCGTGCTTGCTTTTCAAGTAGTGCTCATCTATTTTTCTGTGGGGCTATCCGAAATGGAGGGGCCAAGCCAAAGCCTTTAAAACTGTAGCCAACAGGTCGATGGGAACCAGTTTGGTTCCATCTATGTTCAGCCAAACGGGCATGTGCCAAAATAGGGGCCCAAAATGGGTGATCCTTCCCCTAAAATGGGTGATCTTCCCCTTGGTTTCAACCCCCCCTTTGGCCTGCTTTTACAAAGAAAGCAAGATTTTGGGGAGTCCCCAATTTCGAAACATTCCCATTCATGTGACCTTTTGGTAAAATAGATCGCACTGATGATTTATTAGAACCAATCTACAACCCTATTTTCAACCAAACTGAGGTATAACTCACTTGCCTGAAAGCCTAATCATTTGGAGCCTTGACAAAACATGGAGCAAATTCGGAAAACCAAAATCTTTAAAAGGTCAGATCCAGTCGAACCTCTTTTTGGGCAGAGAAAAACCGCCACCCCTTTGGAGCAAAACCGCCGGACACGGCCCGCCCGCCTTTTGCGGGCCCCGGTGCTTGCGGAGCCGCGCCAGCCGCTCCGTTGGCCTGCAAGGGGCGATGAAAAGCTTCGTCACAAATGGCCGGTCTGCCAATGGGATCCCATGTTGGGGCAAGTGAACTCACCACCTATTTGAGAACCTATTTTGGTCAACATTTTGGGGCGGGTGAATTCAGCACCTATTGTAGAACCTATTTTAGTGGGGATTGGGATTGGGATGTTCACTGGGGGTACGGGGTGTTGACCCATAGCCAAATCTGTGGATCCACCCAGAAAAGAATGTGAAAGGAGTACCAAAAGCATACTAAAACAACCAACTGGGGAAGAAGAGGTGTGGTGCCCATTTCAATTCGGGGCCCTTTGGTGGACATCATTTAGCCGGGGGTTTCATGTCCACCCATCACTTTTGAGGTGGTTCCCGGAAAAATGAATGACCATATCGGAATTCGGTGAACATTCAACCACTGTTCAGTGAGTTACCTTCCCATTCATCCATCCATCCATCCGTCCGTCCGTCCGTCCATCCATCCATCCAGCCATCCATCCAGCCATCAATCCTTCTTGTTGCTTAGGGAGAGATTGGGGGGGGTTTGCCCGTTTTTGCCCAGGAGTCCAGACTATGACAATGGGATGAAGGGTGAGGCCGACGCACTTTCTCTCGGCGGCATGCGCGCATGTTGGGCTTGGTCTTGTGAGGACGTTGCTACATGCGAGAGTTTTCCATGCAATCTGAGAAATAGTTGGGGATCCCCTGCGAAGCCGTGTGTTGGAAGCCTTGCCGGCGACCATTTTTTGGAGCCTAGCCGCCAAACGATTCCGCCAAAGAAGTCTGCAAGTTTGTCAAGTGGCCCGTTGCCACGGGGAAAAAAAGGCAAGAACAACAATCTGTGGCTGGCGTCACACTTTTTCTCGCCATGCCAGGTGAACCCCAACCTCCCAGGAAGCCATGCCTAAAGGGCTGCATCAGCAGGTAGGAGTGAAAGCCCACCGTCTCTTTGCTGACCTTGCGCCATGTGGGTGTGGGTCGTAGGTGCACAAAATGGGTTGCCGCGTTGCCCTGGCAAATGGAGAAACAAAGGATGTAAACTGTGGTCTCCTGGTCTACCCTTGATCATCCGACCTGCTGATTCACACGTGGCCCACATCTGGGGTACGCCCAAAACAAGATGTGCTGACTCTGCTCAACTCTGTCCTGCTCAAAATGAAGGTCCCTTTTGGACACTTTTGATTAAGGGGCAACAAAAGGAAACCAGCCACCTCGTGTTTGGACGAATCTTCTCTTGGAAACTGGCGCCCTTTCTTGCTGGTGCTCAGTGGGAATGACCTTCTGGGTGTTGGGAATTAACTGTTTTGGGATTCCCGAATGAAGGAAACCAAGTTGGGAATGGTTTTCCTCGGGGTCATTCCGTGTCCCATTCCCCTACCGAACCAGCAACACAAGAGGAAAAGCCCTCGATTCTGGTGATTAGAACCCCCTACCTAACCTTTAGAACCCCCTACCTAACCTTTGGGGGTTTGAACTTCAAACGCTTGGCTCTAGGGGCAAATCAAGCCCGCCCCCACCCAACCCCCCCCCCCCCCCAAAAAAAAAGCCTCCTCATCAATTGGCTCGACCAGGTACAATATCACGATTGGGCAGGTAATCAATGTTGCAGTCACAGACTCCCACCTGTGCATCAAGCACAGGTCGGGATGCAACAATACCGCGTATTGGTTCAGATCCTCCCCCCCACCAAAACACACACACACACACACAAACTCGATTCCAACCCCCTCACCGTTGCACTCAGCACTTCACGCCTTGCGCAGCCACTTGTTGGTCTCGCACCCCGTGGCCGCTTGGGAGAGCTGGCCCTAAGCTGCGCGTATCCACCCCAAAAAACACAAGAACACTTGGTTGCTGTTGGGTCAAAATCCAAATCGTACACTCAGTGAACATCCCAATCCCCACTAAAATAGAGCCTAAAACGGGTGGCGCACGGTGGTTGCTTGGTTGCTGGCGAGACCCCCCTGCAAAAAGTTGTTCACATGTGTATGTATGTGTTCTTCTCTCTTCTTTTTTTTTTTTTGGGGGGGGGTGGTAGAAAACACCTTTATTTCCCAAAAAGTTGTTAAGGTCTGAAGATCCAACCCAATAGCAGTCAAGAAAGACCGAGGGCGCTCCCTGAACGGCTGTGGCTCAAGAAGCCTTATACCAAAATTCGGCCACCTGGGTAAATGGAACCGCCGTCCTAACACCTGCGTAACCCTAGCTCTGGAATTCTGAGCCACACCCTAAATCAATTGGCGGTCGCTGGATTTACCCAACTGAAAAGTTGATCCACTGGTGGTGTCCATTGATCCCCGCCACATTTGGCCCAAACAGATCGATTGATTACCCTGCCCACGTGGGCAACCCACCAGAGAGAAATGGCCCCTGAAGGGAAAATCGTTGTCCAGGACCTCTGAAATCCATGATCAAGTGTTTCACATGCCACTCAATCAGCGGGTCCTTTGAAAGGATACATGGAACTCCTCTTCAGCTCTCAAAAGGGGGTCTAACTAAGTTCCACCTGTCTCGAGTGCATCCGTTGAGGGATCCTGTTAAAAGGATGCTCAATCTCAACTCCTCACTTCCCGAGATGGCCTAAAAGAGTCCAAACTTCTTATTTACCACTAAAATGGTCCAAACCCAAAAACTTTAAGTCCAGGAACTCATGAAGTGAGATGAATGAATTGAAACCGCACGGAACCTTTGTCATGGTGAGCCCTGTTGGCGAACGCTGACTCCGGAAAATATCCGGTTCCAATCCTCAACCCATCCAAACCACAAGTTCAGGCTTACCTCAAAACCCAACAGCACATTTGATTCGGGTGTTCATGGGCATAGTCTGAGACAAACCCATGCCGTCCTCTGCAGCTTGGGGCAGCATGTAGCCGGCGTACATGGTCGCCAAGAGTTTCAAGACCTTCGCAAGACCAAAAGGGAGGAGAACAAACATCAAACGCAGCTGTTGCGCTACTGGAATGGTTCACACCCATATTCCATACATCTCGAAGAAGGGAGACATAAATCCATATTCTTCAGGGACAGGTGCCCGTGCTAAGGATTGACCAAATGCGAAATCTTCACATGGTTTTAACATAACGCCCTTTGTGGGGGGGGTCTCAAACACAAGCGGTGCTTTCGCAAAGTGGATGCCCGAAACACCCAGAGTTTTCGGGTTTCCATTCCAGGTCAGGTTCTCTTTGAGTTGGTTTGCATTGGGGATGTGAACCGCTGGTTGTGGGAGGGATTTTAGGCTACCACCTTCTGTGATCTCAAGGGGGAATTCCTGTTGAACATGACGAAACAGTCATACGGCCCATTTCGGGATCACAGGCGCAATTTCTAGCATGTAGTCTATGGTCAATTTCGGATTCTGCGGTTCTCAGCTAGACTTGAACTTCCAAGATTCTACCCAACAAAACCGCGTCACCGGGGGGGTTGTCTCACCATCCATCCTTCCATGTGTTTAACCCCGCCGGAAAAAGACATATGTCCAGTACTGAAATCGATTCCCTTCAAAACCAACAGGGGAAAATAATCAACATGATTAACTCAGATGCCCAGTGGATAGCCATGGGAAAACAGAACCTGGTGGACTCTAACGAAGTCAGCCCTTCACCAAGCAAAAGCTGAAGAAAAAAAACATGGGGTGGAGTCCAGTGGTTGCAACTGGCTTCATGGCATCCCATTTGAGCCATAGTCAACACCGATTCGGTAGCACAATGGTCGTAATCCCAGTGCCATGTGAAGAATTAGGAAGGCGGATATCCGCCTTCCATTTATGGCAAGGGGATTGTCCCTGACCTTCATCTACCCTTGTTTTGACTGTGGCTCATGTTCTGTTGAGGCCATGGCCGCGTCCCCGAGCAGCTCGAGGCGCTCCAGGCAGAAGCGCGCTTTCCCCTCCCCGCCGAAGGCCAACGAGTGGACCTGGCCACAAGTGGTCGGCGAGGTCGGCTCCGAAGGCGGTCGCAGCGGTCGACGGGTCGAAGCGGCTTTGGGTGGATCTCAAAAGGTCGACGGTCGGGACATCCCATGGCAGTGGAATAATATTTCTGTTTCCGGAAAACGCCATCGTCGCGAGAAAGAACGTTTCTTTCGCGAATCTTTCGCGACTCCATCGCCACGCCCTTTTGTTTGCAGCGTGCGCTCTGCAGCCATTGTGGCTGCTGCAGTTCTGCTTGCAAACACGGTAGCCGCAGTACGTAGTGTTAAGTGCAAGCAGTCACCTCATTCGCCCTTGCCACTTGCCCTTGCCGGCGATGTGCTGAACCTTGCAACAAGCTCTACAGGCAGGGAATCAATAACGCAAGTGCAGGTGCTGCGTATCTCCTTGTTTACAAGGGAGCGGGGTCTGCAAATATGTAAGTGCACAGGCATGCCTCCAAGAATCCAACGCGGAATCTTTCGCGAAAAAGTAAGTTTCTTTCGCGAACTCCGTCGCCGATCTTTCGCGGAGGGATTTAAGCCAAGACGAATGGTCACCGAATACATCTCCTTGCAAGGGCCTTTTGATCAACCCCCACATGGGAAAAGTGTTTAACTGCGTGGTCATGTTGTTGGGCCATTCGGAAACCACAAAAGAAAAAACATGGAGGCCATGCTGCTCTGGCCAGGGGGTCCTTTCTTTTGGGGGGGGGGGTCCCAATATGGCCAATTAGACTTATACGGGTGGTGCACCTACCCCAAAATGGTAAAACAGAGGGAGACCCCACAATGAGGTTGTTGGCTTTCTCCAGAAAGGGTGCCCAGGAGTAAAGAAAAACATTTGGGGGAGCAGACGGCACAGCACAAAGGAAGTGCACTTTTTCATTAAGCACGGCCCGTAGTAGGACAGTGGAAGTTGAAACGAACTTGTTCAAACCAGTGTTTGCTTACGTTGGTGTCCCTAGTCCCCTTGATGGCATTTATAAAAGCACCAAAAGTGTTCATTACATGTTCTTGCAGCTGTCCGTCCAACCATGGCTGCTTTATCACCTTGGTCAGCAACCCATTCAGCGCACAGCCCCCCCCCTCCCCCCCCAGCCGCCCTCGCGTCGCATGTGCGCGGCGCCCGTCGCCTGAGAGTGCGTCAGAGCCTCCCCCAGCGCCGCGGGCGTCGCCTGCGACAGCAAGCCCCCGCACTGCGGCGGCAGCTCCTGGCCCGGCCGCCAAGAGAAGTGCGGCACGCGAGGCGAGGCGCGGCCCCAGGGCGCTGTCGAAGGGCCACCGGGGCCCCAACACGAGTGGTTTCCCTCGTCTTTGAGACAGGAGAACCCCCCCCAAAACCAGTAGGGTTCCCTCCAACCTTTAAAACAGTGAACCCCCCAAAAACCAGTAGGGCTCCCTTCGGTTTCCCTTTTAAGAAAAACGCCAGAACAGCTGGCAAAGAAAGACACCCAAGTCCAGGTGGCCTCGCTTTTCGACTCGAGGCCAGCGCCGGACGGGCGCAAAACTCAACTCAGAGGTCAACCAATTGGCCCCGAGTTTCGAACGCTGGCGAGGGGAAATGACGAAATTCCATGTGGGGGTTGATCAACAGGTCCCATAAACGTGGGATGACCATCGGTTGGAAAACCACCAAAAAGCTGAGACTTCAACCACTGAATGGGAAAAGTTAACCATTGTCATTTCGGGGCCAGGAAGATTGACTCCAGCTCACGTGATATCAAGGGAACAGGTTTTCCAAGCTGGCCGTTGCAACCGCACTTCGCCCCAACGATGATTAGAACGGTCTTCCCAAAAACCCTAAAGTTCATGAACTCAGGAAGTGAGATGTTGGGAAACCTTGAATAAGTGTTTGACGGAATCCATTTCAACTCAGTCATAATCAAGCCATCTACCCAGAATCCAGCACAATCTAAAAAAACACAAGGCGGCTGCACCCACTTATGGTTGGGACTATCCCTTACTGACCTTCGTCCACCCGGGTTTTGAGCAAGTGGCTCAACTGGTTTGAGGACACCCCCGAAACAGGGCACCAGAAGGTTGGACCAGCACGGTTGCGAGCCCGCACCAGCTTCGCCACTTCCGATCTTCGAGGTGGGTCCACCTCAAAATGACCCGAGCAAAATGGGCATTGCTCTTAAGAGGAGCTCCAAAAAATGGTTCCTGTTAAACCAGAAGCAAAAGGGTCGCCTCACAAAAGGACACTCCCACTGGCACCGTTCACATGGTTTTGCTCCTGCATCAGGGCGACAAACTCCAGCCGCCACAGCCTCTGGAGATCGCGGGTCGGCAAGACTGTCACCATCAGCCGGCCAAAATTTAAGAAAAGCTTCGGTGTTGTTTGGGGGGCCTTCGAATACCAGACATGGGTCTTAAAATCCAAACCATCTGGGCCCCCCCCTGCATCCCAAGACCACGCAACCGACACCAACGGCCAGTGTCAGACCCCATGTCTACGTCTCCGGGGTTCCTTCTTCAAGTCTCCCCGCGGCTTCCCCAGCGAAAAACAAATCTCCCAAGACCCACCGAGCACCCAGCCCTGAGCCTCCCCCCCCAAGCCCATCTGGCTGTGGCTCAAAGAACTGGAACCCCAGCCCTGAAATTTTGAGCCCCGCCCATCTGGCTGTGGATCGAAAAAAAAATAGGATCCCATTTCGGGGTTTCAATTGGGATTTTGACCCCCTGGCCATATGGTATAGGCCCAAATCAAATATACGCACCGCAGGCTTTCAATCCTTGGCAACCATTTGCCAGGGTTACAGTTCGAGGCCGCCCCATTTCCGCTTCTTAACTCCGCTTCCTTCCCGCGCGCTTCTTCGCGCGCTTCCCGGAGCGAGCCCGGGCCGTCCCGGGTCCCAGCCCGGGCCCCCCGGCAGACTGGGCAGCAGCCGCAGCAGCTCCAGGTGGCTCCGCGCCAGCGGCATCACCTCGCAGCTCTCCGCCTGGCCAATGCCGAGAGACGCGCGCCGAGAAAGGCGCGAAATCATTCCGACGCAGGCGAGAAAGGCGAGGTGGGAATGCGAGGCAAGAGAATGCTCAAGACCAGGAAAGACGAAACAGGAAGAATAAGAAGAAAGGCAAAAGAAGAGGAAGAAGAAGACAGAATAATGAAGAATGAAGAAGAAGCAAGACAAGGCAAGCCGAAGCAAAGCGAAGTTCCACCGGGAAGCGCCTGCAACTCTACCAGCAGGTGCTCATCCTTCAAATTCCGCTCGATCTTCACAAACTCCGGCGCCTCTGTCGTCAGGTCTGAACATTGCCGATTCGAAGACCCCGCAAACAGCGGCAGGGTGTTTCTTTGAAACCCCGTGAGGAACGAGAGAAAAACCCAAATGCACAGAGACACGCCAAACAAAAGGGTGCGCCCCGAAACCCAAGCCTGGCACCTGAAAGGAGGTTTACTCAGGTGGTATCCCCAAGACCCCAATTTGGGAGCCCGTTGGCGCGGGAGCCGAACCAGCGTTGATTTGCGCGTACATTTCTGTGTGTGTGTGTGTCTTTTTTCTTCTGCACCCCAATATGGTCTGTTTCGTTTTGGTTTAAATCCACAGAAAACATTCGCCTTAAACAACAGGAACACGTGCCAAAACGTGATGTGGCTTCAGGTTTCCTTGTGTGCCACCATCACGTTTGCTTGCGTGCCAAAAAATCGTCTTTGTGCGTTTTTTGTGGGCCAAGAACTCGGAAACACAGACGCGCCGTGACTTCTTGGGGCGTCCTTTGCGGGTGCGAGCGTGGCACTGTGGGTGCGAGCGTGGCACTGTCAATCCACCGAGCACCTGGAAGTTACGCCTGTTGGCATAGGTGGCCTTTTGGAAAAATAGATGGCCCTGGTAAATGTGTTTCACCATCTAAACCAGGGCCCTCTATCTTTTAAGCAAACCAACCAAAAAGGACACCTATGCCTGTTGGTGGCGGTTGAAAGGAAACCAAAGGACACCGAAAACATGTTGGGGGGCCCCGCCGATCCATTTCAGGGAGCCCTTTGGCTGCATGGTTCCAAGATGGAGACAAAGGTTGATGTGTGTGCCTTTCTTTAGGCGCCAAGAATCATTTTTTCCTTTCCCAAGACACGCCCAGATTTATCTCGCTGTCATCCTTGTTAACCGAGTAGACCCTGAAATGGGCAATGGGGCTGTTGGGCGCTGCTCGCATCATCCAAAAAACAAAGCTCGAAGAGAACATCTTAAAAGGTGAAGATGTCGAGATCGATCCCTTATTTCAGAGTTGTTTTAACGGCAAACATCGCCGATGTTTGGTGCATGTGTACAAAAGCTACCAATAGTCAGTACTTCCATTTGCCCTTCCTGAAGGTGACTTGCAGGTGGATTAGCCGGTTTGACAAACCTATACTGTTTTATGAAAAACAGGTTCACGAAACCAACCTGGGTGTGTCTCGAAATTGGGCATTTTTCCTGCACATGCCGGTTGGTTGTCCTTTGGTGCCCTTTCAAAACAAGCCCAAGAGGGGCAGCCTCGAAAGAGACTTGCTTGAGCGGGTTCAAGCCATTAAAAGAATGGCAAGGACCCAATTCGGATGATGAACATAGGCAGAAGGTGGATATAACCATGGGTCAACATCCCAATCGTGTCCCCAGTGAACATCCAATTCAATCCAACCACTAAAATAGGCTCTAAAAGCAATCCAGATAATAGTGGTTTGTAATTATTAACCCCCCTGGTTTTAGAAGGACACCCAACACTTCCAAAGATAAGCCGCTAGTTTCCAAATCCGCCCGAAAGCTCTCCCTTCCGTCAGGCGACCCCCGATTTTTTGTTTGTCGACCCCTAACCTGCTTTTCAGCCCATACACCAGGTGGGTAAACTGGAGGTCAAAAAACTCGGCTTGGGCCTGGAACAACGAACGGGTCCCTTCAACCGAGACCAAAAGAGCAGTCTCCTTGCACCATGGGAGGTGGAAGGAATCCCCTCGAACAGCGAGGCCCTGAGGCTCCGATCTTTAGGTTTTTTGCGGCGACCTGCCAGTTTCATTTGGGTCAGCAGTGGGATGGTGCGGCAAGGGGTGGTGCGGCACCGGCCCACTTACCCCGGCCAGGCACAACTTTAGGTGACCAGTGGGACGCCCTTGGATGCGTTCGCGAGAGAGGGGCGACTTCCTGACATTGAGCCTGCCTGCCGATATGTGCCGATGCTTCTTCTTCCCACGGTGATGGACACTTTTTTGGCGAGCCAAGTAGATGCGAAAGGTCACGATCGCTGTCACCTGGTTCTTCCTCTGCTCCGTTGGGCGGATGTCCTTTTCGAGCGAGTCGGAGAGCAGTGAGCCAGCGGAAAGTCGGGGACTGTCCCTCGGCGCTGGCCGAAAACCGAAAGTCGAAAGTCCAAATAAGTCCACCTGCCACCCCGGAGAAAAAACGCCGGGCAGGTTCCTCGCACTGCGAAAGCCGGTGCGCTCCAAAAAAAAAACAAAAGACTTCCGTTTCCGGGCGCCCGGCGATGCCGGCATTCACCAAGGCCTCAGATCTCGCCGGCTGGCTACCCCCTTGCTGCGGAATCCAACTGGGTTGTTGAAGCTTCTCTTCCAGGTGCTCCAGTGGAGAGGTTCGAAAAAGTTGGTACCAACTTTTTGCTGTAGTCTATTTTAGGAGAACCCGCCCAACCAAAAAAGGGTTTCAGGACACTGGAAAACCTCGTCTTTGAGTCATGGGCGGTGT